TTTCTATTGCTTCGTATACCACATAGTGTTCTACGTAACCTTTTATTTTCCATTTTCGGCAAACTATATAAACAGTATTCTCATCATTCACACACTCTTCTATCTCAAATAGTTTTAAACTGTGCCCATCTGTTTGCGTCACAAATTGACTTCCACAAAATAGCGTTCCCTTGAATTTACAAGAATAACTGGAGCTGCGGCTGGTGTCAAAATTGATTCCGTAATTGAAGGTGATTCCGATTTCTGTAAACGAAAATAGTAAAAATAACGAATCAGCTGGGATCTTTATACTTACGATTTTTCGGGTCCTCTTGTTTGCTGATACAATCATAGAGACCGCTTCCTATTTAAATATTTTTACTGATGCATTAAATTATTAAAACAAAAATTGAATCTGACACTTACCCGATCAGGTTGTAACTTTCGGCGTGTTGATGAAGCGGATATTGGTAACGCAGAAGCAGCAGCAGCTAGTTTAGGTGTCTGCAAATGTAAATAAAAGAGTAGACTTCAATTGAACAATAAGATTTAAATGTTACTTACGGGTTTGCGCATTCTTGCGCCACGTCGTGAAACTGGATCCGCCATCTTGTGTTTTGTTGATGTTTTGATTTGCACTGTCATAATAGTGTTCATAAGATGATCGTATGATTTTTTGCCATAAGCTGCGCCAAAATAATTCATACGATGGGTTTATGAAATTTGAATGTTTTCCGTACGCTTTTTATTGTATCGAATTATGAATACCATAAATGGAGTATGAAAACATAAGATACTTATGAAATTGGTTCAGGCTTATATTTCCATGCGTTCATACGATGGGGTTTATGAAATTTGTAGAGATAATTTCCTCAGTGTGGGGCCTTCATGTTTTTAGATGATTTGATATAGGCCAACAGTTTGTCAGCCGTAATCTCGGATTCCTCGGGAAAAATGTTAGGAATCTGAAGAAGATTGGTTGCATTTTCAGCAACCTCAGATTCATGAGGGCTGATGATGTTTTGTCCGAGATTATGGGAGCTGCCCAACAAACATTTAATGTTGAATAAGAGCTTATTCAGGCAAAAACAAACTTCTTCAGCTAAAAAATAGCTTATTCAGCTGTTGATCAACTCAAACTGTTTGTTGGGTGACGAAGTGTTGACCTATCGCGGCAGCCTTCTCTTCAGGAGTTATCAGATGAACCACTGGGTCGCCGGAATGATCCAGTGTCATTGGGGGAATGGGTCTAGGCTTGTTTTTAAGAATTTTTGTAAGTATCCAGAACGGCTTAGTACAATATGGGAGAGAGCGGATCTTACTAGCAAAATCGTTATTTCTGAGATCCACCATCCTGGCCTGAATGATCTTTGTTAATCGATTACAATTGGTCTTCAAGTTAGGCAGGCCAGTACGCTGGTACTGCCTACGAATGGTGTTACGGAGTCTAATGAGATCTTTGGTAGGGCTGTTAAGGTTCAGAGTGATACTCACCTGGCTGGATACTGGCACGTGTTGTTCCCTGGCCCGGGAAATTGCCTCCTCGATGGTTTGTAGACACCGGTCAACATTTTCCGACGTTCCCGGTTGGACATCGTAGTCGATGGTTGTGTCGACGCAGTGTTGATATTGCGCCCAGTTGACTAGATGGTAGTTGCGCCGGGAAGCTTCAAATCGGTTTACCGAGGATCCAACTTCGGCCACCACCGGGTAGTGGTCCGAGCTCAGCTCCTGGAATGCCACAGGTTGCGAGACGTTGTGTCCCATGTTGCTTACGAAGATGTCGATGGTCGCATGGACCCCAGACCGACTCAACCGGGTGGGAGAGCCCGGGGCCAAGATGGTATAGTGGCCCTCTTGCAGGTCTTCATTGAGGATGATGCCGTTTCTATTGCTCCGACCGTTGCCCCAAGCTTGATGTTTTGCGTTCAGATCGCCAGCGATGATAAAGTTCCCGCTCCTCCGGGTGAGCTTGATGATGTCTTTGCGGAGGGCCACTGACAACCCGTCCCTGATGTTGGTTTGCTTGGGGCAGTAGGCCGCGATGATGGTGATTGGGCCAAGTGATGTGCTCACCTCCACTCCGATGGCTTCAATTGTTTTCAGCTGGAAGTTTGGTAGCAGCACAAAACGAAACAAAATCGAATCGAAAACTCGAGCGAAAATACGGACTGAACAGCTCGACAGTCGAGCAAAGAATGATTTGATTTCGTTTATAAATGGATTCCAGATATTTGAATAAAATTAAAGTGAGAATGATTCTAAGAGTTTATTTAGACTTGCATAAATGTACAATATTTGTTTTACTGCACACAGTTTTTTTTTCTAGCGAGCTCAGCTGTGCAAATATCGGCAAAAAAAGTTACTGAGAATGAAATGTTTGCTGAGATTCAGGTAAGCATTATCCGAGACTCAGCAATCAAATGTCACTTTTCCTGAGATCTGTGAAACTTATTTTTGCCAAGATTTGCACAGCCGAGCTCGGTAGAAAAAAATAAGTGTGCAGCATGCAACTAGGCAGTTTATAAACATCTGTTGAGGCTAATCTAGTTAATCCTCTTTCATCATGAATAGCAACAGCGACGTAATTGGGTTGGTCCCAGGGTTTTTGTTTTGTTAGTTGTGGTTTTAGATAAAATATTTTCGAGTAAACATTTGAGAAGCTCGAAGAATGTAGGGGAAAGTCAGTAATGACCTAAGAAATACTTACGGGTAGGTACTGTTGAATGAACATTTGTAGGACTGCTTACTCTCTATGTAGGTTGCTCCCCAAAGGACTGTCCAGCTTGTGCTCCTCCATGGTTTCCTCTTCCTGTATATGCGGATTATAAGATCTGGTTCTGCAGTTGACTGTATTCCAAAATAGTACTGGACTACTCAGCGTAATGCTTCCAGACGGAACCGGTCCGCTTGAATCATTTTCAACGGGGGAAAAGCACATCAACGCTACAAATAAATATTACTGAATCGAACTGTGCTATTTTATAATAACTAATCATACTTTCAACAGATATAAGAGATGTACTAGACATTTATCACAAAATGTTATCACCTAAACCTACAACAAGTTATGCGACGTCATGTATAAATAGAAATCTAAAATTGATTACTTTTTAATCATAGCGAAGGGTATACGAAGCTTAATAAACAAAAGCATAAATTTTATTCTATTTCTGATTAGTTATATTTTTGATTGTGAAACAATGCGTAGAAAAAAACTGATTTTGAATGTTTCGAAAATGCATCAAATTAAATTAAATCTTAATTTAAACTCAAGGCCATTTTTTCAAGGTCCATTTTGACTAGAAATACTCAGAGGGGGAGAGATGGGCAAAGAGAATGTTTAGAGCCGAATGAACTGCCAAAATCTGAGCCAATCAAACATTTCCATTAGAATTTGTCCGAGGATTTCCTATTCTTACTAGATTATATTTGAGAGTATTGCTATCGAACAGAAATTCAATCACCTTCATGTTTCGTGTGCTTCTCAAATTCAACTAGTGTTTGGAATCAAAAACAATATTCTAACTCTATTGATTAATTGATCTTAGTTAGTTAATTAATGGCACCAAGAAATGTGCAAAATATTGCGATGCAATCAATTATTATTTTGCACGTAAATCGAATCAAAATTAAAATTCATTGAAATGCTGGCTTCCTAAAGGGTTGCAAGATAATTTAGGTACAAATCCCTGCTGCCGAATTGTATTTTGTTTTCTCCGCCTATCTCTCCCTCTAAGTATTTCTAATTTTTTGACCAACGAAGGGGAGTGTAGACAAAATTTTACCTGAATTGAAAAAAAAACGCTTCGCAATGACTATATGCTTTCAGCTGAGCATAGCAGCATAATTGAGGGTAAACAAACCGACTCGCACACCGAGTCGATAGAGCTCCAACACTGGTGGTGATGCATCGTAAACAAGAAAAAAATCTTATTAGAAACTGAAAACAAGACCACTCTTTTTCAATACGCTAATAATTGCTTCTATAGTAAATAACAAGACTTCATAATCGAAAATACCTACCTTATTAATCTCTAAATTCCACGTGTCGCTCACGTGAACGCTTTGTTTTCAATAGGCATAGTTCCCTCTCGATGGCGCCCTGCTTACATTTGGCCTGTTTTCTTTGTTTGAAATTTCCTTCCAAGACGGAATTGACGTCGACTATGAATGGAATAGGGGGAATTATTACATATAACGATGCGCAATTATCTATTAAATTATAGTGTATTTGATATTTTCGGTTGATTTTTTATGATTTTAGCATCAATTTAGGCATCTCAAACTATGAAATTCCGTTTTAAGCGACCAGCAAGGATTTTCCCGTTACGAAGCCTTGTCGATTTTGCAGCAGCCCAAAGTTGATGCGCAATTTCATCTCTAGATGTAAACAATGCCAATATTCCCTGGAATGTAGTTGAAGTCGATCAAATTTGTAATTTTTCGGTTAATTCTGTAAGAAAAACACGATTTTTGGGGATTATTTCACCACAACTATTGCCTAACAAGTGTGAATGAATTAAAACGCATAAGGCCAAATGCTGCAACAGAGCTCCCAATATGGGTGCGTATCATGCCAATTATCTCCGTTGTTAGGGAGAAGACACATATATGAATGATGTTATAAAAAATGGGAAATATTTGTTGATGATCCTACTGAAAAAAAATTACAAGAATATTAATAGATAATTTATAATTAATTGTTTAAGATGAACCACCGTGAGCGGAGTTCGCGACCGCCAGATCAAAGTGCGTCGCGTTTGGTGTCTTCTGCAGATGGTTGAGCTAATTTATGATCGTTAGCCAATTCAAACATTGCATTTGAAGAATCTTTGGAAATTTGCGAACTTTTCATTCGATTAACCGATCAAAATGCAATTGGAAAAATCTAATCGGAAAACGGCCAAACGGTTTGCATGCGGGCAAATTTCAATCACTAGCTCGTACTTCCCGAACACGGTCGCCAAAGGTGAGTACCTAGCAGTCTGGTCCCGTTATTCAAAGTGTTTTCCTATCGAGTTGTTTATTTGGAAAGTTGTAAGCAAAACAAACGGTGAAAAACAATCATCATGGCTGATGTTGCAGTTGGAGTTCATCCGGTCCATGCGCTTGGGAAGGCTCCCAAGAAGGCCAAGGCCGCCTCCAAGGGCGAGAAGAAGACGAAGGCACTAGCAACGCATCCTCCGGTCAACGAGATGGTAGTGGCTGCTCTGAAGACGCTGAAGGAACGGCACGGAACGTCACTGCAGGCCGTCAAGAAGTACATCGGGGCCAACTATCAGTGCGACGTTGCCAAGCTGTCCACGTTCATCAAGAAGTCTCTGAAGAGTGGCGTTGCGAATGGTAAGCTGGTGCAGACGAAGGGAACCGGAGCTTCCGGATCATTCAAGCTGAAGGTTAACCCCAAGTTGGTGTCGGTTGAGAAGGCCAAGGCCAAGAAGAAGGCCATTGCTGGTGGAGCGAAGAAGGTGACCAAGAAGCTTGTCAAGAAGCCAGCCGGAGCGAACAAGCCGAAGAAGGCGGGTGCCAAGAAGGCCAAACCCACAGCCGTTAGGGCTGTCAAGCGGGCTGGAGGTGTCCGGAAGGCCCCTGGTGCCACCGCTCTGAAGCAAAAGTCCACCAAGCATTCGAAGAGCGTTGCCAAGAAGCCAAGGACCCCGAAACCGAAGAAGGCCACCGGCATCAAGAAGGCAACCGTCACGAAGAAGTAAGAAGTGGATCTGCTTGAGGAGGAAGCCGGGGAAGGAAGGAGCAGGGAAGGGATTTGTCGTTGAGAATCAATCAGTCCTTTTCAGGACTACCAAACGAGTTGAACGAAAGAGTTGTTTGAATTTTCTTTCATTGATAATTGGCGAAATATTTTACTTTTTAGTAGACAAATATTTTTTCCTGGATTTACAGGTCATTCGCATAACATTTATTTTAGGAACGAAACGATGGACGAGCAACGAAAAAATGCTATATCAAACCATTATGGTAGATACCACTGTAAACAAAGTGTGGGTGTAGAAGGTAAATTTTTGATTGAATTTATGGCTGGTTTTCTTTATTTAGCGTGACTCCTTGAGGAGTCCCAAAATTTGTGTATGTGTTGGTAGTTAAGAAATGCAGAAGCAAGTCTTATGGAATGCAGTATTGTAAGCCTGCGGTATGTTGTTGTAGTATTATTGTAATTTTAACATATTTTAGGTCACACGAGATGGGACCTTCATTCAATCTCAAAATTAAGCTGAAATGAAAATTATTAGTACTGCTCTTATTTTGAACAATTTTACCTGGCAGATGCTTCCAAAAATTTAATATTTTGTAATCGAATACAAATGAAACAGAAATTTCTGCATATCTCGAAAACTAATCCAGCAAATGGAACCAAATATGGCATATGCAGGTCATAGGGGGTAGCCCCTTTGATAAGAGGGGGAGGGGGCTACACAATATGGCATGCTCTTTTTTTAATAAACTCAAGCTAATATTGAATCCCGAGCAAGGCCGGGCACACTCAGCTAGTTGATCATAAGTTAACAAAGTTACATCATGTCAAAGTTGACCATTTTGTATGAAAATCGGCATGCGGTGCTATTTTATCGAACACAGCTGTAGGTTCTGAAAGTTTATTCTGAAAACGAATTATTTGTTTGCGTTGCGTTAAGTATGATTGGAGCCAATTCAGAAGTCTAGATTCCATTCCTATTTTTTGCAATTTAAAGAGTAAGAATGGTATGTCGATTCGGTCAAATGCTTTACTGAAGTCAGTATAAAGAGCTTCCACGTGCTTGCCATTGTCCATTGCGTTACGAACGAAGGTTACAAATTCAAGGAGATTAGAGGTAGCTGAGCGACCTTTAAAAAAGCCGTGCTGTTTGTTTGTAATTTGATTTTTTCCTTGCAGAAAAATTTTGCCGTTTACGATTGGAAGATTGCCGTAAAAGCTCAACGCAGATGTCGCCACTGCATGATGATGATAATGTTGACAGACTGCATATAAAATTCGTGAAAATTAGCGTTAAATCATAATTTTCATCAAGCCTGTGTAAAATCCTTCCAATATAACATTCGAATTGAAGAAGAAAACGTGTTTACGATCAGACTGATGTGCATCTTTGACTTTTCCAGTTGAACTTTCATAAGATATATTCATTTCATTTCGCGGCTCCATCAATGCTGCATCGTAAATACGATGTAAACAGAAGTAAATTGCTCAATTACTCAAAATAAAGATGATTTGTCATCTTGTTATCACTTTGAAGACCATCTAGCACCATTTTATAGTATGGTGCGTGTTGAGTAAATCAAGTTCCGGTGCGTTTTCCATCGAAAATTGTGAGTATCAATATGTTTGCTTAGAAAAGGCCAAAATGAACATTTATTGAATAATGGCGTTCTATAAAACCAATTCTCCATTACCACCAGCATGATACAACCTTTCCTAAGTAAATTCACTTAATTTCCACTTTCATCTTAATGGAAATCGAACATATTCACCATTTTCCGAAAAATGCAGCTGCGCAGGAGGTAACCTCTTGCTGTGGGTGCAAACTTGTTATGCATTATTTTCCATGAAAACATCTCCGATCCATACCGAAATAATAACAATTAGTTTTCAAACACGTTTTCTTACACGATTCAAGCAAAAGTTTCCACGGGAAATTATTAGTTTTTCTTTATGGACCGATTTGCCCCAAAAATCGACTGTTTTACTTGGAAAATTTGGAAACTATCCTCCTTCTAGTAGTTCTCACTTCAAAATGTAGGAGGCTAAAGCTTGGAAAAGTTTCACTGCAAGACGCCAATTGATTCAAACAGTTTTGGGATGCAAGAGATAATGGCAATTCCACGATAATTACGCATGTCAGATTTCTTGCCTGATTTGAAAATAGGCACCAACTGAGACGATTTCCAAATTTCAGGGAATTTCCCATTTTTCAGAGACATATTGAAAAGGCGTTCTAAAGGAAGGGTGAGTTGTTTTGAAAGATTCTTCAAGAATACAGGTGCAATTCCGTCAGGTCCTGGTCCTTTTGATGCGACTTTGACAGATATGTTGTTGGAGACTTCGGGAATGAATGCAAAGAAGTCGCGGTCGCGGTCTTTTTCAGAAAATGTGGTGTATAGGGGAAATGCAGGTAATGTCGGCCTAAGTGTCCCTAATTTGGGCCCATATATAAATTCAGCAATCGACTAAATTTTCAATAGCAACCAAAAATATCCATTAGTAACGTCCCAATAACGCGTTCATCTAGATAAAATTGATAAATAGCACATTTTTAGTGATGGGCCCAATCTTTGATCCATAGGCCAACATTGGAGACATTTCCCCTACTTCGGAGCACTTATTGCTTGCATCATAAGGAATAAGTGCACGGAAGACACCAAGACGATTAGACGTAAACTTGCACACTTATCACACTTTTTAATAAGTGAAAACGCGCTATTAGTCCAATTTGGTGTGAAACGCGCAATATTATATTTTGGCAATTTATTGTACATAGAGATTGCTAAAGTATGATTGTGTCAGTGATTTGTTTTCATCGGGAAAATTTTCTGCTATGAAGTTTTTTTTTCCCGATGAAAACATTTTGCGTATACGTATACGTGACGTAGTGTGCGTACGATAAACGTCAGCAATCTCTATAGTCTACGTTTGGCTTATGGCGTTTGCTTTATGATATTCCAGCACTTCCTCGTACTCCAAGTCGCTGGGGGAAGAAATATGTTGAATGAAGAATATTCAATTGCTGAGTGAAACACTTAATTTTTTCCATAAAAGTGATAATGACGAGGAGGGGAGTTTATGAAAAAATAATCTTTAGTTTGGTAAATCAATTCATACCTGAATAAATCCACTTTATCCTATATAATCTCTAAAATTAATAATCTATTACATTAATCACATCTCTAAAATTTCGGGTCACATCTCTAACTATCTCATGGCAGATTACGATATTTGAGGACGCCGCGAAGCAGCGATGTAAACATTTCATTCTCCCACTGTTTGAATGGTTGATGGAGTGATGGAGAAACATTCACAATAGGTCGTATGAACAAAAGCGTTTACTTTACTTTTCCCGTAAGAAAAGCATGGGAAAGTAAAGTAAACTCTTTTTTATTCATACGGCCCATTGCCTCCCCTGTCGTATGGGGGAAGAAACCAAAAGCGAACCCACGTTTCGATATATTGACACGAAAGGGAATTATTGACTATAATATTGATGATGTGAATACAGAAATATTGTCATACCGATGTATTGACGTCAATACATCAACTAACTAACATTTATTTTCACTGATTCTTCACCTTCGCACAGAATTATGCACTTCGCACGTAATTCACCTAGCTCACAATACTAACTGACGACGTTCCTGTCATGCTTACCCTAATAAAAAATAACCATAAACGAACGATAACCCAAATCATTGAACTATTCCACAAATGGTTTGGATGATACCCAGAACACGTCGTTAAGCAAATTAACCATACAATTTTTATTAGGGTAGTCCTACTTATAACCCTAATAAAAATTGTATGGTTAATTTGCTTAACGACGTGTTCTGGGTATCATCCAAACCATTTGTGGAATAGTTCAATGATTTGGGTTATCGTTCGTTTATGGTTATTTTTTATTAGGGAAGCTAAATCTGCTGACCGTGCTCCTCGATGAAATCGAGGTTGCAGGTTGACGATCCGCTGACTCAGGTGATGCCTTGCTGTGGCAAAGTCCGCTGCTGGGTTAACGACCTGCTGACTCGGGTAGATGTTCCAACGTAACTCCTCCGGGGGTGAAAAAAGGACGTCCTCGTCCTTAACGATTTGAAGTACTCGGTTGATTGATGCCAGAGTTCCGGGTAAAAGCGTGTCTTATCTTGGGGTGACGAATTTTGATGACGATCTTCCTTCTACGAAGACAGATATAGAGAGTAATTCCGATTACCAGTAATGTGGTTGATGTCAATCCTCCGAAAATGCCAAATATCCAAAATTGGTGATTGTACTGTTTAAGGTTCAATGTTTCCACTCGCTTCCTGTTGATTATGGTAAGATTGCTGATAGCTTCAATGCTTTGAAGCTTCAGAACTTTGCGGTTAATTATGAGATTATGGAAAGCACCTTGAATGTCTTGAGTTCCATTGCTGATTATTTCCGTATTGGAAAAGTGTTGGTCGTTCACATGAACGCTGCAGTTTTCGAATGTTATTAGGAAGTTGCCAGTAAAGTTGCGGTGCTGGGGTCCACAGTCTGATGATAGATAAACATTTTGTGCTTTGTTTATCAGAATTTTGTTATTTGCCACCATGTTGACAAATGTGTTACGTTCTTCTACCACGTTGCATTTACTACTTACTCCTGTAATGATATTAAGTATGCATTCATCATTAAGGATTTTCAGCTCGGTGATAGGTTGGATGAAGTTCTCTGGTTTATCTGTTTTGAACCAGTTGGTCTCGGATTTAATCACATGCAATGGAGCATCAATAATCATAGTGCCCTTTACGACGAGTGGTAAGATCTGAATGAGTTGTGATGACGTTTTCTGCAGTTGGGGTATCTGAAGAATGTAAAGTAGTGAATTACCCTTTGCTGCGATTTTTGGTGTTACGTATAGTAAAGCCGGGAAATCTGTCTTAATTCCTTGTTCGTTTAGAGTTGATTCTATCCAAAGAATTTCTTGCAATGTTAATATTTTGTTGTTGGGTAGGGTGATTTTTGCTCTCAAAGTTGTGTCTTGAATATCGACTAAAATACTGTTTACGCTGTCCATGTAGAGTAGAAGTTTGATCGTATCGTATTCTTCCAAAATGATTTTGTTTTCCATGTTTTGGTCTATTAACTGGTTGATAGTTTTCGTCATATCCTGAATCCGTTGATTTACCATCTGATTTATGATGATTTGTTGATTATTTTCGTTGATGAGTTCGTTGGATGTTGAATTTAGAAGTCGTAGATCGTCCGCGTCTGGTGTTCCGGCTAACCACTTCCATGCTGTCCCTAGCGCGTCCCATCGTCGTATCCTACTTGGTGTAATTGGTTTTATCTGACGCAGATTGTTTATCATTATCCTACTTTTTTCGATCACTAATC